ATATATATATATATATATATATATATATATATATATATATATATATATATATATATATATAAAAATTAAAAAGTTACCATCCCCAAACTTTTGAACAGTAGTGTAATTAGGAAAATCTGCTCAAGTTGGTCTTTGTTTCAGCCTAATATTTGTGTGTGTGTGGATTTGTGTGCAGTCGGGACTGGTTTACACAGAGGAAGAGTGGCAGAAAGAGTGGAATGAGTTGTTGAAACTGGCATCCAGTGAACCCAGGATACACTACAGCACTAACGGCAGCAACGGGTGTGTTGATTGCATCTGATTTTATTTTCTGCTTTGAAAGCTGTAAACAGAGGTATTCTGGAATGTTTTGCTCATGCTGTGAGAGTGTGTTTTGTGTCCCGCAGTGCCGAGTCACAGGAGGAGCCGGTGTACGAGAGCCTGGAGGAGTTTCATGTGTTCGTTCTTGCTCATGTGCTCCGTAGGCCGATAGTGGTTGTGGCTGACACCATGCTGCGGGACTCTGGGGGAGAAGGTAAATAAGGACAGAATGTTAATTTTTGGATAATTTTTTTTTTTTTTTTTTTGTGGGGAGTTTGACACACTTTGAGGTGCTCTAACATTTACCACTCAGAAAGCCTTTCTTGTCTATTGAAGCCAAGTTGTAAAAATAGCTAAATCGAAATCTTAATGGTTAGATTGTAACCAAGAACCAAGACTATGACTTTAGCAGAAAAATGCAGTGGCAAAAAGTGTTGACTATGTCCCCTGTAAATAATGCATTTTCCATTTGTCCTCTCATGTTCCATAAGCAAAGCTTATCATTTTTGTCTGTTGTTTAGCTTTTGCACCAATCCCATTTGGAGGGATTTACCTGCCCCTAGAAGTACCAGCCAGCAAGTGCCACCGCTCCCCTCTCGTTCTGGCATATGACCAGGCCCATTTCTCTGCCCTGGTCTCAATGGAGCAGAAAGACAGTTCCAAAGAACAAGGTGAGGAGTGGTTTATATGTAGCAAATTGGTTTGCTTTTTTATGGTTCATGCAGTGTGCTGTTCCTGCCTGATAAACCGGTTTTTCAAAGCAAGACAGAACAAAATCTGTAATAATTTATTGTTTCCAGAAAGTCTTTATCCACTTTAATCCAGCTTATTTCTTCAAAGGCCTTTGGGACTGTAGTCTTGGAGTTCATTTGAATACTGCATTGTGTTTATAATTTGGCTTATTTACAAACAAGTAGGGTAGTAGTGAAATTCAGAATGATACTGACCATTTGTTACCTGTTGTTTGGTAAAAATCTCCGCAGTCGTGATCCCTCTGACGGACTCGGATCATAAGATGCTGCCTTTGCACTTTGCTGTGGATCCTGGAGAAGACTGGGAATGGGGCAAAGATGACAACGATCTAAGAATAATTTAACTGGTTTAGTGTAAACTGTCAGCCAGAAACCTTTGGTAAATTTGCTCTGACAACAACAACAAAAAAAGTACATTCAAAGCATTTTTATTTCTAACACTAAAAAGGTTTATGTCTGTAGGATGGTATAAATATGTTTTAAAGCTACCCTCATGATGTAAAAGGCTTTTACAAGTCATGACATTTTTTTACAAGTCATGATGTAAAAAATAAATGATGATTCTAATTAAACTGCCAAACTGGCATAGAGGGTTTTCTGGTCCCTTCTCATTTTTATGCTATCTAAATATAAACTTGTCTGGGAAAAAATGTGTGATGTAAAGATTATTTGTTGTAAAATATATTATAAGTTGTACATTCATTTATTTGAAGATGAGTTTAATAATTTTCCCAGATTTTTCCCAGATTTTTATGTTTTTATAAATTTTTATGAATATGCTAAATGCAGACTTTTTTTTTGTTATATGTAAAAGTCAAAAAGTAATTTGGATATGGGTATGAAATGGGATTATCTTACTTTTCTTAATTAAAAATAATAAAGTAATTAAATAATAAATTATTTATTTATTTTTATTTATTTATTTTTTGCATTCACAGCAGGCCCCATTGGCCCAGCCAGAGTCACCTACAGCATCTGCAGGAGAGGATGCCCGCACCCCGCCAGACTCTGGAGAGTCCGATAAGGAGTCCGTCAGCAGCAGTTCCAATGGCAATGGAGACAGCAGTACTACTGGAACCAGTGGCACAACAGGCAAAACAAGTGGTGGATCTTCCAGCTCCTCTAGTTCATGCAGTAACAGTTCAGCAGGGACAACTGGCACAATTGGAAAGGAGAAGGGAAAGAAAGACAAAGAAAAGGATAAGGACAAGAAACGTGCAGACTCCGTTGCCAACAAGCTGGGTAGCTTTGGCAAGAGCTTGGGCAGTAAGCTGAAAAAGAATGTGGGAGGCCTGATGACGGGAAAGAATACAAGTGGAATTGGATCCAAACAGGAGGGTCAAGAGAAGAAGAAAGGCTCTCTGAGAGGTCGTAAGGGCTGTAAGGACGGCTCTCCTTCCATTCAAACTGGCTCTGAGGACTCTGGGAAAGGTTCACCCTCCTCAACCAGCGAGCGACAAAATGGAAGCTACTCTACTGAAGGTGACCCTTTTAAGTACAGTTCGGATGTGAAAGTGAGTCTCAGCATCCTCCGATCCGCTATGCAAGGCGAAAGGAAGTACATCTTCGCTGCGCTACTCACTACAAGCAACCGGCAGCCATTTCAGGAGGAAATGATCCAACGCTACCTGCTTGACGCCGAGGAGCGCTTCCGTGCCGAACAGGAACAGAGAAGGGAAGCTGAGCGGAAAGCGGCTGGAGGTCTCGCAACGACTGCTGGGTCCCAACTGAAAAAGGACGGGCCTGAGCTGAGTTACAGAAGTTTTGAAAGCAAAGAGGAAGTCACTGATAACTCACCTCCTACTTTTAACGCTTTGAAGTCGTCGTCTTTCAGCCCGGTGATGTACTCTGGTGTGGTCCCAATCCCTAGGGCCACCTTCATTGACCATTCTCCTACCCCACTCACGCAGCATCTCCATATGCATGGTTATTTGGATACACGACGGCAGCTGGCAGGAGGTTCGCCGTCTTCTTACCCAGGCCTACCATCCTATGCTACTTTGCCCCGACACTGCCCCCTAGCACAGGGCCCACCCCATACCCAGTACCACACTCCCTCCACCAGCTTGGGTAGCCCATCCCGTATCATCAGCCCCTGCCTGATGTCTTTTCCCCAAGATCATGACCCAATTGATTACCCAACCGAACCTGCTGGAGGCTACACGAATGGCTTGCGGGACTCACGTTTCACTTTGGACAGTCGCAATGGGCCGATGCCCTTGAGGCATTACTCTTTAGGCAGTGCGGGTGGCCTCGCCAACCTGCAGTCCAGCAAATGCCGAACGCCTACGTGCAATTACTACGGCCACCCCGAGACGGGCAATTACTGCTCGTACTGCTACAGAGAGGAGCTGAAGAGACGGGAAACGGAGCCGGCTATCCACAGGTTTTGAATGGACAATCTCTGTCCGGTTTCTCTCCTATAGGACTCATTGGAGCCCGCCGTGTGAGCCACATCATATCCTGATTGCGTGGATCTTGCTTCAAGACATAAGTTCGGCCTTTCTGAACCAGGTTACTGAGATTCGGCGCCCACAATGAATGGCCATTGTGGGAATAGGACTGCTGTTGTGTTACATTTGCTGTGGCTCATAGGCAGAAGCTTTAAGCTCCACCCACATTTGCTTGACGTGGTCATCCTCTTTCCTGTCTCCTTGTCTCCTCCTAGTGGCGAGAATGTAGAGCACAGGCAATAGACATTGGAGCACAATGTGCTACGTTGCATAACACGAACATGCCGCGTACCCCAAAATACACGTTAAGCACAACCAGAAAATACGTATTTATATCAGCTGCGTTTGTATACATAATAATAGACATTTCATGTAGGATTTCAGCTGCAATCAATGTAAGACTTGCCCAATTGCGATTGTAAGGCAAAAACACACTGTTAACTTCAAGTGAGTGTTATCTGCATTGGCCCAACGCTACAATAATTTAACTTGCGCCCCTTTGGAAGCCATACCCGACTGGCTTGAATTAGCTCAAATGGTGCTTTCTCGCTTCTAAGATGTTCAACTTACGGAGCTAAATCTTGATAGCCAAAGGTTTTGCTTTGGGTCTTCACATGTCCATATTAAAAAATCACAGTCGTTTACGTTTTACTAAGTGTTTCTACAACATTTAAAAATGCAAAACCTTTCAAATTAGCGGGGGTAAAAAAAAGGAAATCAGATGTAATTTTTCAGAAATGGTACATCATGCAGAAGAGTTATGTTAATAAATGAGTTCTAGGTACTCGCAGGTCAAAGGGGGCTGATGTTGAAACAATTTCTGACCCCTTCAAATGTTACCGGCTTAAATGTTAATGATCGATCGCCCCCAGAGCAGTCACTGCACCAAATCAAGCACTTTTCTAATGTCCAGAGGTTGTGCATTTCAGGTTTCAGACGTGACAATGCAATAGACTGTTATGTTGCTGTGCTTCTAGTCTGGCATTTCGCTCCGTTCTGGAGGGAGAACTTGCAGTTCCACTCGCGTGGACTGCAGAGGTCAGGGTTCGGCTGTAGGTGCCACTGTTGTGTGCAAGCTCACTTGTTTCCTAGTTGCCTTTTCAGTCTTAGTTCAGGGTCTTAGTTGAACTGAATTTCTACTTCTGTTTGGTTTTGGATTCGCAGTGCTGATTATAGTGTTGTTGATATTTGTGGACTTAGAGGGATGCCAGCAGATCTCTCAGCATCTCAATTACACAATGAATGGTATATCGAGATCAAATCCTGTTACACTGTTAAGACATTAAAGCCTCCGATAAAGCCAGCTAGTTGTACAATTCAGCCAGAAATAAAAATGCTGTTATTCATTCAGCCTTACATGCCATTCTAAACCTGTATGATTGGCCAATACAAAAGTAGATTGTTCTTTTCCATACAATGGAAGTAAATGTGAACCAATCACTTAATGTGAGTAATGGACCAGAAGTCATTATTCACAGAAAGTCTTCCGCTCCATCTCGCCTACTGACAAATTTGATGCCAGTGATGACAAACTCCATTTGGTTCTTGTGTCTTAACTGAGCACAACAAGCCAATGTGGATGTGCAAATGAGATTTTGAGAGCTACGTTGGAGAGCAAAACTGCTAATGTAGCACACATGCACTCAGTTTTCTCTGAATCTGAGTCAAACCAGTCTGTTACATGTCATTTACATGCTACTAATTTTGCTTTGTTAAAATATTTAGTTACAGCATTTTGACTTGGAGCACATGTCCCCATTCATTTTCATTATATGGAAAAGAGCAGTTTGGACGTTCTGCTGGACACGGCAGAAAGAAAGTCATACAGGTTCAGAACGACATGAGGGTTAATGAAATGATGACGACAGGTTCTTCATTTTGGGCTGAACTATCCCTTTACCTTCTCATTGCTCATGTGAAATGGGCTTTATAGTACTTTAAGAGGATGTTGCTGCTGTGATCATGTTCATTTGATGTGGTTAAGTGTTAGTGTGCTGCATTGATGGTAGATGTAGAGTTGGTGTTGTAGTCACAGCGAACCCACTTCAGCTTCTCAAACACTCAATACAGATGTAATCAGTCGTCTGCAAATATTTGTATAACTGTGTCAGCTCAAGGCCACAATGTTCCCACATTTGCATTACTGATTTGCACAGTTAAATATATGCTAGGTTAGTATCCTAACAAAAATTTTACTTACCTCGCTCTTCTCTTGCTCTTGGTATCTCCCATCCATTCGAAGCTGTAAATTCTTAGTTTAGATTAATTTACGTTTAAAAGCACTAAATTGTCTGAAAACGTTTTTCAGCGGTATAAAAACCTGAAGGGTTGCTAGTTTTGTTTTTCACCCAAAGACAGCAAGATATCTTTGACACGTTATTCACTCTTATAACCAGTAGATGGCACACTTGTTTGGGTTTCTTTTTTGCTATCCCCTTTATGTCTAAATCAGTGCACCCCTAGTGACCTTTTGAGACAGATGGCTCACATTTTCATAGTGTAAATAAGGGACAAAGAGTATGCTGCTGCTGCTGCTTTTGGATTTTTTCTTTTTTTTCTTTCAGTCAAGCACATTTGAATATAAATTGCAAAGTCTTTCGTAAGGCATACACCATTTACCCAGATTTCCACTCAGCAAAAAGGAATTCAGCGTGTGAGCTTGTGTTTGTGTGTGCGCGTCTGGTGAATTGTGCTTTTGCAAACCTATTGCAGCTTCAAGGCACAAACAAGAGGAAATTGTCAGTGAAACGACTACTACTCTCCGTAGAAATTTATGTTCTCCTTCCAATGTACTCATTGCTTGCGTTTAATGGATCCAGTTATTTAACGAATGGATAGCTCATTCAGCCACCCCGAGCGTTGGACCTCAATAAGAGTGCAAACATTTTTGTATTATGAAATAAAACCGTTGTATAAATACGTTCAAGTTATTTTTGTAAATCAAATGCAGTTTTACAGTGTTTTTTAAAGATACGAATGTATGCTGTAGGACCGTACCCTGATTGGTGGTGGAGTCAGTATTCTGGAGCGTACGGCGATGACTGACAAGAGAAGCCTCTTAAATCTGAGTGTTTCTTGTGAACAAACTAATTTCTCCATCAGTGATCTGACAAGGTATGATTTGGAAATATATATTTGTAGTAAGATTTTTCAAGAAGTTTGGGATGTTTAGTTCTGAAACTAGGATGTTCTTTCTTATGTGGCTAGTTGTCAAACAGACGGGCCTCCTGAAGATTCCTAATTTTGATTTCTATTTCAAAGCGAATTATGATACTTAATCGAATTTTGAGTACATTTTTTTAACGATGGTGGTGGCGTCCACCACCATCAGTTTTCACACACTAAATTCTCTTATTTAATACAGTGATCTTTGATTTGTTATGATGTAGCTTACTATTTTTATATGGTATGTTTTCATGGATGTGACAGAGCTACAGTCATCGGCATTCTCCAATTTGCATGAGACTGAAACTGTTGCATGTACAGAACTGGCAGATGCAATTTATCTAATCATATTTGTGCATTTACTTCTGGCTAATTGGGCAGTTTGTGTTTGTTTTCAGCCGTTTTACCTTTCTCCTTGTTTGAGAGGTGACCCCAGGCTGTGTGACAGTGCAATCTAGGTGGAAAGAACATCTAATTTTTATGTTAGTTGTATTTTTTTCTTTTCTTTTTGCACCGTTTTAATAAAATTCTCATTGTATTTAAACAGTTTGTTTGTATTGATTTTATTTTGCACCCTCATTCTCTACATTTAACTATATGAGCCTTTAATAACAAACATCTTGTATTTTTACAGTGACACAAGAGCTTTCAGCTGCATATATAAGGTTATTCCCACAGTTAAGGAAAACTGGAGAATTTAAACATTTTAGTGGGGATTAAAGAAATGGTTGAGCCAAATATGAAAATTTGTTGAAAATGTACTCACCCTCAGTCCATCCATGATGTAGATGAGTTTGTTTCTTCATCAGGACAGATTTGAGGAATGTAGCATTACATCACTTGCTCACCAATGGATCCATTGCAGTGAATGGGTGCCATCAGAATGAGAGTCCAAACAGCTGATAAAACCATCACAATAATCCACACGTCTTCAGTCCATAAATTAATGTCTTGTGAAGTGAAAAGTGGTGTTTTTTTTTTTTGGTTTTTTTTTTTGGTGAACTGTTATTAATTTGCAAAAAATAATAAAAAAAATAATGGACATTTTTCAATATTTTAAGGCTCTTCTCTAAAATATTTCTTTGGTTAGAATCTGCTCTTTTGCCATCTCAATGATTTTTCCAGTAATCCCAGTATGGAAGAGTGGAAACCTAAATTAAGAAAAACTAAAACTATAGTCGTAAGCAAGCATATAAAGAAGCAATGTGTTTACTCAGCTAAAATGCAGCTGATCCTTGCAATTGTTTCAGAAATATCTTAAGTTACTGCAAGTGAAAGTCATTTAATTTTAATTTCCAGCAAGCACTGTCTGCCATCTAGGACTGGTAATTACCACAGCATGTGATTTTTGCCTTGCGTCAGGACACAGTGTACAGGGTAAAGCATAAATAAAGTTTACTCTTCTTAATGCAAGTTTATATTAGATTGCTGAAGACGTATTTTGCTTTCACTTATAATGTGAGAAATTGCCCGATTAGTGCTCTGGATGTTTGTATTATTTATGAGGTATTTTTGTGGGCTATTGGTTGAGTTCTTTTGCTCTAATAAATTCAAAGTGAGAGTCTGATGAATTAGTAATACCAACACTGATATCTTTGGGATCAGTTTTCATTTGTTTTTGCTTTGCAGGTATCCATTTCAAGTGGAAGCCTTTTCCACACAGTGCACACTGCATCGTGTTCATATCCACCTGAGCGCTGATGCTGGACACATCGTAATCTGAAGACGCCTGTCTCAGTCTCTCTGCTGTTTGGACGTTGCTGTGAAATGGTTCTTTGATACTGCAGTGACAAGGTAACTAGGGTGTCAAAAACTATGGGAATGTCAGGTGTGTTTGCTCACCTGTGAAGTGCAATATGTTTGAGCAGAAGAGAATTATGGTACAGCAGTCTGAATTGTTTGTAAACAACCTAATGTATATTGACTGGTATTTTGCGCATTTAGATGCATAGAATGGAAATGAGATTTAACTACGCCATGTTCTTTTAATAGGTTTAGGAGAAGATTTATTTTTAGCATGCAAAACCTTTGCCAAGGGCAAAAACAAAAGTGTTGCGCTTATAATTTTGTTCAGTGTATGTGTGTATATATATATATATATATATATACATACACACACATATACAGTATATATATGTATATATATAAAAAAAAGAGTCTGTCGTTTTAAATAGTTGTCAATGGGCAAAGAGACTTTACCAGCAAATCTACCAGTAGGGGCTAGACATTAAACATTAACCCTTGTAGTGACTTATCATATTTGTAAATGAAATGTCAGATCTTGTGGATAATTCATACAGAACATGTGAATGCTATTTATAGTATACATACTATATTAAGTATAAATAGTAAGAGTAGTACGCTAGTATGATATTTCGAACACGACCACGGATGTCCAAAAAAGCTGCAGCTCACTAGGTTTTGAGAGACAGATGGAAGCAGTCCATAAGCACAGCACAGTACTGCACTGGCCCTTTAAGAGACTCGGTCCTGGATTCTGTTACTCCGTAACACCCGTGTCATTTCACTATGGCGAAGGGGCTGTAAACAAATGCGGTGGGAAAAGCGCGTCTTTGTGAAAATAGATTTCCGTTAGGGATGA